GGATTCTGACTTTTCCAAAAGCTATTAAAAATACAGCGGTTGAAAAATTCAAATATATAAAACAAATCAATGTTTCCTATCAAATCTGAGAATCAGAGCAGAAACAGAGTTTTCTTGTGACGTCATTTAAGTGTAATATTCTATCGTTCTAAAAACCGTTCTAATAGCAACGGAAGCCGATGAGTTCATTTTGCACAATGACGTTACATTACAGAGAATAAGCACTTTTTTCCAGAGCAGTAACGTAAATAACGTTAGTTGTTGGCGTTGAGTCTTTCTCTAATACTCTGCATCCAGAGTCAGATTTCTATCTTTTGCCAGTCTATATTTGCTAGAATTCTCTTTTTCCGCACATTTTCTTACCTAGAGAAGTTTCAGTTTTATTTCTCTGAAAGCGAATTCTTTTCAAAGAACTGTCAGTTTCGCTGCATTATTTACTCGCAGTTCTTAGCGTGTTGGTTCTACGTGCATTCTCCACTGTCACCTCAACATGCGGAACATATTAATATCAGCGCGAATATATTAATTTCAACGCCAACAAAACATTTTTATTAATTTATATAATTTATTTCAGATGTCCATCTCAAGTTGGATTCAGCTCGGAACAACAAAATGGAACCTGACAGTCTGGGAACAAGATAGTAATAGATGAAAAGCACAACAGACAAGAAAACAGTAAAATACTCGATTTACAGGTAAGATAGAAACGGGTTCAAGAAAAAAGTGTACGTGTACCACCATGGAAAAAGTAGTCTAAAATTTTATAGCTCTATCAGCGCCTGAAAAGGTCAATTCTCCTTAATGAATTTATTCATTTCCTTCATTGTTTTTTCTGAGAATCACGATGTACATCAATGTAAATCCCATAGTTGTTTTTAAAGAATGACGCTATTTGTTGTGAAGATTTTGTTCTAAAAATGAGAAAGTCATTCAAATTTGACTTCAGAAGACTACGGTACTCGATCAATGTGATTTTCAACATCCAAAACATTGTCCAACAGAAAATGTGTAGCACACTTGGGTTTCTGAGAAAAGTTTGTTTGATGGCTGGAACGCGAGAAAAATTTGTAAACCGGGACAAAAGAAAAAGTGTTTTGACGCATAATATTTGATTCCACTCCTAGAAAATTTTGTGTACGTACATGAAACTTGGATAATCGCAATGTTACCGAAGATGCGAATTTTTCCGAAACCTCAGTCAGGGTAGCCTGTTCCAGGCTTTCGGTCAGTTGGGGAGCAGCGCGAAAATGGGACAGAAAAAAATGAGGGTAAGTATTGAAACTCGTTGATAAAAAATTTAGTACTGTCAAAGCAATTAAGTATCGCTATTTGACTGTTAAGGACAACTGGCAATTTAAAATGGTCAAATGGTCATACCTCTATGCTTTGACAATGCTAAAAATGTTTGTTAGCGCGTATCAATAATATTCAAAATAATGTGGTGACCGGGTTTCAAGTTATAAAGCCGATGTTCACTCTTGCAATGCTAGACGAGACATAGAAATAGGTTGGAGGTGCCGCTATTCAGCTTCCGGCCAGCGTTCCTTTGTATATAGAGCTGTAATTCTGCTGTGGAATGAACTCCGCCAAACTCTAATAGCTTTAAATACATTAGCAAAATTAAGGCTACTTTTAAGAGTTGTGCTTTGCAAAGATTTCTATTTATTCATTTATCTATAACCTATATAGCTTTTTACATCTATCACTGTAACTGGTCAATGGAGTGACTAATAAAAGTACCAATCAGTAATTACTAATATCGTTTCCTCCAGTTCAAGACAAAAAAATTTAAAGAACCCAAGAGAGTGTTACGCGACCTCCCTAGTTTGCCTGAGCTCGTACGTAACAATAAGTTGGAAGAGTGTGTCAATCAAGGCAGTTAGACCGTGAGTGGTAGCCCTTCGGCATTGCAAAATGAGACAAAACCATTCGGAAATGTCGGCGTTTCGCGTCTTTTTTGAGAGAAAATAGCCCGATTGAAGTGTAATACGTAATCAAAAGATTATCAAGGTGACGTAACGTAATAACGTTTCTAACAGCTCACTGCACCTAAACCGGCATGGCTTCCATTTGCGCAAACGGACAGTTGTCACCTATTACAAATCAAAATGTTCATAACTTATGCTAACTTTTTTAATATGCGCAATCTTTAAGGTAACTCGATTAAAGGAACTCAGCCACGGTATTTTGAGTTATTTTGGCCACGTATCAAATTACCTTTAAATCGAAGGAAACCTGAAAATAGTAGTTTGCTGAGACAGAAAAACACCAAAGAGATAATAATAAACCATAAAGGAACAAGGATGGTTAAGGATGGAGAAGATTAACACGGATTACAAACCACGAACTTGAAAAAATTAGGCTAAACTTTTTGAAGATGCGTAAACCGTGACGTAGCTAGCTACTTTAATTTAAGCGGCAAATCTACGTAAATAGCAACTGAATATACTTGATATAAGTAAACAGGAAGCGGAAACTGCGTCATAAAATTCCAATGAATTGATTCTCGTGAATTAATTTCATTCATTACATCTGTACTCTAAATAATTATGGTATCTAAAAACTTTTAAACTTCGGAAACTGCATAAAAGTCGGTGCGCACTAGAATCGCTCGCTATAATTTTACTCTCAACCGTTATTCTGGCTGCTGGTACCACTTGCGGCACTCATACTTTAAAGAGAATCTTGGCTGAAAAGCAGTTCAAGTTCCAAAGTATACCTAATAGATATCTTTAACTGATCCTGAGGTTCTAACTTGATATCTCTGTTAGTGGTTCGAATAAGAAGTTTTTGTTTTTCAGTTTAAATCACCTGGGCGTCGCCATGTTTACTTCATGGTAATTTATGACGTCACTGCGTGGTCAGAGATCTCGATATGGTTTCTACAGGATGTGATTTTTCGTTGAAACTGTACACACTCATCCGGAATATGAATTATAAACGATGAGAAGTGCTTTTCTACCTCTAGATTCACGCAATGTTCTATTTAAAAAAACGTCCAACCACGAAATGACGTCTTAATTTTTCCATCAAGCAGTGCAAAAATAAACATGGCAGCGCGCGGGAAATTTGAAAACCTAAAGTAGCAGAGGCGAAAACGCCCAGCATTCAAAACAGGCAGAGAATTATCTACTTAAAATGAGTGAAAGAGTACAACACAGACACTGACTTGTGATTTTGAACAAAACTGTTGTTCAGCCAAGATTTCCTTTAAAGGTACCTCTGCGAATCACTGTGTTTGAAACATCCGCTTAAATCCTCGTGTCACTAGCCCAAGGCGAGTAACTATGGTCCTCTTC